GACAGCCATGATGTTTGAATATGCAGTCGTGTTTTCAATGAAATCTTGAAAGGGTTTGGGAAGGAGAGGAAGAGTGGGGGCTGGTGTAATAGAAAGTACTCAAGTGTTATGCATTTCAGAGAATTATAGAAGTAGATGAGACACTTCAATTTTCAGTGTAGACTGGTATGTTGGATTTAGTTTAATGGCAAGTACTCAATTGATAAGTACTCAATTATGAGAGTTTATTGTACCTAGAAGCTATAATGGGGTACATAGTGTTAAGACTGGTTTATCATCATCATCATCATTATCATTTCATGAAAATGTTGGCTGATAGTAGCTAATTGAGTTAGTAAGAATATAAATTTGGGTTGCGAAAACAATTATAATTTTAACCCACATTTTAAAAATTGTAAAATATTTTATACAGTAAACCAACAGCTAACATCAAACTAAATGGAGAGAAACTCAAAGCAATCCCTCTAAAATCAGGAACAAGACAAGGCTGTCCACTCTCTCCATATCTCTTCAATATTGTACTTGAAGTTCTAGCTACAGCAATAAGACAACAAAAGGAGATAAAGGGGATACAAATAGGGAAAGAAGAAGTCAAACTTTCACTATTTGCAGATGATATGATAGTTTACATAAGTGACCCAAAAAACTCCGCAAGGTTACTCCTAGAGCTGATAAACACCTTCAGCAATGTGGCAGGATACAAGGTAAACTCAAAAAAATCAGTGGCCCTATTATATACAGATGATGAAGTGACTGAGAAAGAAATCAGAGAAACATCACCCTTTACAATAGCCAAAAACAGCATCAAATATCTGGGGATAATGTTAACCAAGGATGTGAAAGACCTGTATATCAAGAACTTTGTGTCTTTAAAGAAAGAAATCAAAGAAGATACCAGAAAATGGAAAGATCTCCCATGCTCTTGGATTGGTAGGATCAACATAATAAAAATGGCAATCTTGCCAAAAGCAGTCTACAGATTCAATGCAATCCCTATCAAAATTCCATCACAATTCTTCAAGGACCTGGAAAGAACATTATTCAACTTTATATAGAAAAACAAAAGGCCCAGGATAGTTAAAACATCCCTATACAATAAAGGAACTTCAGGAGGCATCACCATACCTGACTTCAAGCTCTATTATAGAGATATAGTCCTGAAAACAGCTTGGTATTGGCACAAAAATAGGCAGGTAGACCAATGGAACCGAATCGAAAGCTCTAATTTTAACCCACACACCTATGAACACTTGATTTTTGACAAAGAAGCTAAAACTGTACAATGGAAAAAAGAAAGCATCTTCAACAAATGGTGCTGGCATAACTGGGTACTAGTATGCAGAAGACTGCAGATAGATCCATGTTTATCGTCTTGTACAAAACTTAAGTCCAAATGGATCAAAGATCTCAACATAAATCCAGCCACACTGAAACTTTTAGAAGAGAAAGTGGGAGATACTCTTCAACGAGTTGGTACAGGAGACCACTTCCTAAACATAACACCAGTGGCACAGGCACTGAGATCGACAATTAACAAATGGGACCTTCTGAAACTAAAAAGCTTCTGTAAGGCAAAGGACACAGTCAAAAAGACAAAAAGGGAGGACACAGAATGGGAAAAGATATTCACTAACCCTACATCTGACAGAGGGCTAATCTCCAAAATTTACAAAGAACTCAAGAAACAAGTCTCCAAAACACCAAAGGATCCAATTAAAAGGTGGGGTACAGAGCTAAATAGAGAATTCTCAGTAGAGGAGGCTAAAATGGCCAAGAGACACTTAAGAAAGTGCTCAACATCCTTAGCCATCAGGGAAATGCAAATCAAAACAACTCTGAGATACCATCTTACTCCTGTCAGAATGGCTAAAATCAAAAACACCGAAGACAATTTATGCTGGAGAGGATGTGGAGAGAGAGGAACACTCCTCCACTGCTGGTGGGAGTGCCGACTCATACAGCCTCTTTGGAAATCAGTATGGAGATTCCTCAGGAAAATGGGAATTAATATACCACTAGACCCAGCAATTCCACTCTTAGGCATATATCCAAATGAGGCAAGTTCATACAACAAGGGCATCTGCTCCACTATGTTCATAGCAGCATTATTTGCAATAGCCAGAACCTGGAAGCAACCTAGATGCCCCTCAACTGAAGAGTGGATAGAGAAAATGTGGTACATTTACACAATGGAGTATTACTCAGAAGAAAAAAACAATGGAATCTTGAAATTCGCAGGGAAATGGATAGCACTGGAAGAAACCATCCTGAGTGAGGTAACCCAGTCGCAAAAAGACAAATATGGTATGTACTCACTCATATATGGATTTTAGACATGGATCAGGATAGTGCCAGTCTGCACTTCAACTGATAGAGAGTCTGGGAAACAGGAAAGAACCTAAAAGATATGCATATATGCATAGTACCCAAGAGAAGAGGATGGAGACAAGATCCCCTGAATAGATGGGGAACACGGCGAGGGGTGGGGGGGAGTGGGACCTGGGAAGAAGAGAGGGGGTGAAGAGGAAGAGAGTTGGTCATGGGGGAATAGGAAGTTGAGGGAGTGGGGGTAGAATAGGGGGAAGAGGGAATCATAGGATCGAATACAGATCAGGCACCAGAGCGACCTCGAGTGATCTAAAGGGATAACACCAATTGGCAAGCTAAGCAATAGTGGAGAGACCACCTCGAATGCCCATTCCTGATAATGAACTTGATGCCTATAACCATCTGGGAGCCTTCATCCTGTGACTGATGGAAGCAGAGGCAAACACACAATTAATCACTGAACTGAACCCAAGGAACCCAGTGAAAGAGAGAGAGGAGTGATGAGCAAATTGGCAAAGAATGGGCTGGCAAAACCAGCAGAGACAGCTGATCTGAACAGGGGAGAGCTCTTGGACCCCAGACCGACAGTGGGGAGGCCAGCATGGGACTGATCTGGACCCCCCAAATGTGAGTGTCAGTGAGAAGGCCTGGGCAACCTATGAGGCCCTGAGCTGTGGATCAGTGTCTATCCCTGGTATACAAACAGTCTTCGTGTGCCTATAGCACAAAGAGGGATGCTCTCTCAGCCTGGACTCTTAGGGGAGTGCCTGGACCCTACCCAGAGTAAAATGACAGACTCTAGATATCCCCTATGTGGAAGAATTTGGCAATAGGGTGGGGGGGTTGGGGGGAAGGGGAGTGCGGGAGGAGGGGGAGGGAGAGGGAACTGGGATTGACATGTAAAACAAGCTATTTAAAATTAAAATAAAAAAATGATAAAAAATTGTAAAATAGTCTTCTTACCTTTTTTCTAGCTGGTAAGTTAGAATCATAGTCTAGAGTCATCTCTTAGGATGGTAATGTTGACTTGTTTTCATCTCTGACTCTGGTTGCACTTACCTTCTGATTTGGGAAGTAACCAAGTAAGCCAAAACCAGAATATTTGGTTCATATTTTATATTTTAGTCTGCCAAATATTTTGTGTTTACCATTCATTTTCCTATCATTTTTTGTAATTTTGATGCCCGACTGTAGAAGGTTGCTTAATAGATAATTACAGAACCACTAGTTATCTAGTCCTGATCAATACAGGACATTGGGTATATAGTCCTAGTCATTAAAAGACATTGGGCATATAGTCCTAATCATTAAAGGACACTAGGTATGTAATATTAATCATTACAAGACACTAGGTGTGTTGTCCTAATCATTACAGGACACTAGGTTTGTAGTGCTAATCATTACTAGATACTAGGCATGTTGTCCTAATCACAGCTCCTGATTTTGGAGAGGGAAATTAGAAATCCTTTGTTGAATACACTTGATATGGTACACTTCACATCTAGAAGGCAGACAGGTTCACTGAAGAGGGAACATTAACAGCCTGAGCTTATGATATGGCAACTGAGAGTCTCCTCACATAGGAAAACTTGCTTGGAAAGAAACCAGCACATTCTTTGATGATATTGTTTCTGGTTCTGTTTCCTGGAGCACATAAGATTCCTTATCTCTTAAATTTAATTGCTCAACAACTCATCTCACTGGGATGAGTCCAGAGTTCAACTTCAGCACCAGTATGGCTTCTACAAAAGTAGCATATCTCTAATGAAAAGTGACGTGGTTCTCATGAAAATGGGGAAGGGGGGGTCCAGCAGAGACACTATGGGTTACCACCTACATCTACACAAATAATACCTCCCCAGTTGAACAGTAAACATGCAGACATCAAGTAGGAATCCCATGTGATGAGGTCAGGTTCCTGTGTGATCTGACTACTCAACAGGAGTTTCTTGTTTTATCTGCCTCCAACAGGCTATCCATGTTTCCCAGAGTAGGATTAGAGAATTCAGTCAATAATTTTTAAAAAACCACCATCATTTTCCATATTGAACAAGAAACTTGATTTTTGCAAGCCTTGGATTTAAGGACATAAGCCACAAATGGATAGAAATAATCAGACCTTACACATGGAGAAATGACCCAGAAATGGATAGAAGAAAATAAGTCTTTATAAAAGACTAAATTTATGTATTAAATAGAACATCAAATTTTAATAAGTATTTCAGAGAAACAAAGTAGCTTTTGAAAAGTTTTAATTAGTATTTATATGGCACTACTACAACCGAATACCTGCTAGAAGTAAGTTAAGGGAAGATGGACTTACTTTAGCTCACCAATGAAAGGGATGGTGTCACCATGGTAGGCAAGGCATAACCACAACTGGGACAGCAGGAACACAAGGCTGCTTGCTCACTTTCTGTAGCCTTCATGTTCTGTCTTACACCTACCAGCTAGGCCCTGCATGTAGCCGGTCCCATTTTCTACTAAAACAGCATCACCAGCTAGGCCTGTAGCAATTATTTCACACCCAACCATAATACTATTGTAAGTAAAAATGTGAAAAATTTGGAGTTTTGTTAATAATGTATGGCCTTAGGAAAATACTCAATAAAATAGTAGCAAGAAATGTGATCCTGTTGATACTCACTTTAATTATTTATTTTCTGTTTCAGGGTTTGAACATAATTTTTCATGTAGCCTTGGCTCTCCTAAAGGTATGTCTATTTTTATTATTTGTGTGCTTACATGTATGTATGTGTGTGTGTGCACGTGCCTCTCTCTCTCTGTGTGTGTGTGTGTGAGAGAGAGAGAGAGGGAGAGGGAGAGAGAGAGAGAGAGAGAGAGAGAGAGAGAGAGAGAGAGAGAGAGATGGCATAGCATGCATGTGTAGGTCAGAGGATATCCCTCAGGAGTCAGTTCTCTCCTTCCACTGTGAGATCCAAAGATTGAACTCAGGCCATCATGCTAAACTATCCTGCTGGCACAGAGAAAGATGACATCTCTGAGAAAGTCTGTTCCTCTCTTCCTGTCATCCTTTTAAGTTACCATTTATTTGTTTTTTTTTTTTCTTAAAACCCATTTACTCTTGCTATCGCTTACTCCAAGAACATTAAAAAATGCTTTAATTCAGCCGGGCGTTGGTGGCGCACGCCTTTAATCCCAGCACTCAGGAGGCAGAGGTAGGCGGATCTCTGTGAGTTCGAGGCCAGCCTGGTCTACAAGAGCTAGTTCCAGGACAGCGTCCAAAACCACAGAGAATCCCTGTCTCGAAAAACCAAAAAAAAAAAAAAAAAAAATGCTTTAATTCATGTGAACTGTACAATAGGAGACAAAGTTGAAACCTGTTTTCTGTCAAAATGAAGCCATTTTTTCTAAAACTGCTTCTTATAATAATATCTCTGGAGGTACCTAAACATATAATTGAATTATTTACAAGCTTCTATAATATACTAAAAAAGATAGTGGCTCATTCTTTTTTTGGTGGTGCACGCCTTTAATCCCAGCACTCGTGGAGGCAGAGGCAGGCGGATCTCTGTGAGTTCGAGGCCAGCCTGGTCTACAAAGTGAGCTCCAGGACAGCCTCCAAATCCACAGAGAAACCCTGTCTCAAAAAACCAAAAAAAGAAAAAAAAATACTAAAAAAGAAGCTACTACATTTCAATTTCCTGCTCTTTCCCCGATAGCTGGAAACATATGTCACTTTAGAATTCAGTTATAATTACCTTACTGAATTTTATATCAACATATCAATATAGCTCTAACAGTATAGTAACAGTAAGATATTTGTTAGTTTAAAAAAAGCTCATAGAAGATATTCTGCTATTGAAGATAAAAATTGCCTTTCTTTTCCCCAATAAATTTGTAATTAAATCAAAGACATGGGTCTTGAACAGAATCAGTTCTGTTTTCAGCCTTGTTAAATTAAGTGCTTAGGACTTCAGTTTTGTGAAAATAATAAAATTAATTTATGGTATTATAATTAAATAAAATGATATATTAAATTTCTTAGAAGCTATCTAGATATTTGCTGTCTAATTAACATTAACTGTTATTATTTACAGTCATGTCCTCTGATCCTTTTGACTGTGGAGCAGGTACTCTTAATCCTGCAGCCAGCTCTCCAACCTCCCACTTAAACTGTTTTCATAAAATGGCATAGATATATTTACTTAGTCCTTTCATGAAATTGTGGATCTTGACTTTGATTTCTTTCCTGATATTAAAATAATCAAAACTTTACCATATGCCCTCTCAACAAGACCAGAGTAAAGCTCAATAATGACTAGGCAGGGGAGTATTATATGGTTGAGACTCAAAATAACATCAAGTCATAAGAAAGTACAAAGAAATCCAACAAGGTTCTAATTTTCCTTTTCACTCTCAGGCATTTTGTGTTTCCCAAAAGTATTTTCTTATATGTACTTAGTCTGCCTTTATATAACCCAATGCTATCTCTCTAGATATAAGAGCTTTACTGTGTACCAGCTTCATACTGGTATCCAATGTTAAGACTATGTACTAATTTGCATTCTTGAGTGATACATTGTCTTGTTTGGAATATTTTACATGTTTTAGCATTGCAAATCAAGATGTATCCTTGACAGTGGATTATTTTGGCCTTTGAGTAGAAGGGCATCTGTTATCTTCTCTAGTGATACATGAACACCTTTCAAATATCATATTGCAGAGGTAGAGCAGTTAGAAAAGGTAAAGTAAAGAAGGAACTACTGAATCTATGCTTGTATCTACCATGTATGTGTCCTGAAACTGACTCCATACAGAGATGGGACTACATTGAAGTGGATGCCATCAATCTGATTACCCTACCTGGTAGAAGAAACATTTAAACATATACCGACTGACTTCTCATTTCTCAGATGCCAGAAAAAAAGAATGTGCATCTGCTTATATAAAAGTTAAACCTGGATAACTTTACCATAGTTCTGAGCCTGACTGAAATTTGGATAGAATCTGTGTCTATATTAGAAGTGATTTCTTATGCACCTTGTGAGCTGAGTGCTAGCTAGCATAGGACAGATTTTAGGTGATAACTGAAGAGCCTGCCCAAGGTTGCCTGAGATGTTATATCTCAGTAACAACAAAGCTCCAGTTAGTTGCTTTCTGTTTTACTTAACTGCTTACAAGTACATGCTAATTGAACTCAATAGTAGAATTCTTTGTAGTATTTTCATACTTGTGCATAATATACTTTGATCAGGTTTACCCAGTTACGCTAACCTCCCTTCCCCTATCCTGCTGTTCCATTCCTCTACTCTAATAGTCCCCTTTTCTGTCCTTTTAAACTGTATTTATCATGTGGAAGAAAATATGCAATATTTGTCTTTCTGAGTTTGACACATTTTGCTTATCATGGTGACCTTTATTTCCATTTATTTTTCTGGAAAATAGCATAAATCCATTTTTTTAATAGCCAACAAGTCCATCATGGGTATTTACTACATTTCTTTATTGTCTGTTGGTGAGCACCAGGCTGATTATATATCTTGACTATTGTGAATAGTGTCACTGTAAACTTAGATGTGCAAGTGTCTGTAAAACACTGGCTTGGATTTCTTGTACCTTAAGAATGGTACAGTTGGATTCTACTTTTAATTTGTGAATAATTTTTATATCTATGTCCAGAATGGCTGCATTAGTTGATATATCTATCCAATGGTATACTAGGGGGTTCCTATTTCCCTTGACCTCACCACTGTTTTTGTTTTGGTTTGGTTTTGGTTTTGTTTGTGTATGTTTATTTGAGATAGGATCTCACATATCCATACAACAGTTAAGATCATGTAGACACTGCAGCCAGAGTATTTAATTTCCAGTTTCATTTCTAAAATGCATCCAAAAATGCATTCAGTTCATCCCCAAGAGTATGCAAACTCTTTACTGCCCAACACTGTTTGAAAGTCCGATCCACAGTCTCCTTAGATTGCAGCAAACTAACCTCTCAGTGCTTTAAAAAGAAAAGATCGTCGGGGACAGACAGCTAAATGCTTCGCTGCCTTGAATGTTCCTTAAGGACACTATACAGCACTTCGGTGATAGCTAGCATTTTGTAATTAACATTTAAGAGGAATTTTTTAAAAGGCAGAATTTAGGCAACTCTCTTCAAGAAGCCCACATCCATGCAAATCAGTGTATTTTCCTTTCTTTCCCTGAGAGCCTCTTTTCCTCCTAACCCTCATGCCTAAACCTGTATTAAAATACCTCTAATAAAGTCTCCAACTCTGCTTAGTTTTAAAGTGGCTACTCCTGAAATTCTTGACATTAATACCACAAATCCTAGTTTGGCCTGAGTTCAAGAGCCTGACAGTATGGATCTCTGTTTCTGTAACCTTACTGTTGATAGTCCCAATAGTTCCCTCACGTTACATATAAATCCATCAATGGGTTGATCCATTAGCTAGGTCAGAGCCATCGTGTTCCAGTCTCTTCTCGATGATTAAATGCACTAATTGGAAAAGAAGGCTTCTAAATGAGTCTTTTGTATAGGATAGTTCATAACCGTTATGGCCTACTTCCCAGGAAGTATCAGGACATGGGCAAAATGGAGCTAAGTGTGGTCTCCATCTGATTTGGAAGAGAATTTCCATTTCTGTTTGATAAAACTAAAGCTTTTACTGCCCACAGTTTTCTAGTTAGACTCAGGAATCTTCTTTGGTATAGAAAAAAGGGGGGAAAGATATGATAGGATAGGATAGGATAGCAAGGTAGATTAGTGTATCTAATTATAAACTTTTAGCAACTATTCAACAACTAATTAAAGACAATTTTACATTGATATAGATTCTTGTATATTGATAAATATGTAAAATTATTTTTGTATTCCTGTGTAATATAATTTGTATATTGATTCAAATTCAAAATTATTTTTCATATTGTATATATTACATTTCTATTTAAAATGTTTTTACACACAAATATAGAATTATTCTTGTCATACTATATATATATATGTATGTATGTATGTATGTTTCTATGTTTGCTTAAGGTATTTTATATATTGATATAATTTGAGGAATATTTTTATCATATTGCACTATACATTTCTACCTCTGATGAAGATATTTTTATATATCTGCTACAATTTTAAGGTCATTGTCTTCAGGCTGCACATCTGTTTAAATATCGTTTATTTTTATTTGAAGCTCTAGTCTGTACACTGTATAGGCTATTGAGAATTACAGATTAGTGTCACTCATGTTTGTCATACTTAGTTAGGTTCTTTAGATGCACAGAGTTGTACTTCCCATAGATAGATACCTTCAAACACTTCAAAGACCTACAGAATATGGAACTTAAATGTTTTAATAGTTTAGAATTTTGTTAACATGAGACATGACTGCTCCTGGCAATACTGATCCATTCCTGAGAGGATGTTGGGCACCAAAGACATTCTGTATGGAGTTTGTTTTCTTCTTGGAAAAACTGGTCTATCAGGCAAAGAACTGCCTTGCCTCGATTTCTGACAGTAAGCACACTGTTCAAACTGGACAAGTAGGATTCATGGAAAGTGACAGCTAAACCTTGCCAAGACAAGGTAGGACAGTCTTTCAAACTTTGCTGCTTCTGTCAGATATTCTAGACCTACAGTCAAAGTCAGTTGCCCCAGTGCTGCAAGATTTTGAGTGACTGTTCAGTAGCCAGCTGTTTTTGCCATTTCTTGCACCTTTTGGAAGTTCTTTGCTTGTATTTCCTTATT